AAATGCGGTCCCAGCGTCGCAAATGCGGAAATTGCTGGGCAGACCATATAAATAGTTGCCTTTGCGAATTTGAGTTGCTTTTTCTCCATTTCTTTCCGGGTTTGAAGCTTTGGATAGGGATTTTTGAGGAAAACAAAGGGGAATCACTTGGAGGTAACATCCTTGACTTCATAACTCGTTTTTATGTGATTAAAGACCTAATTAGTGGTGTGAAATTTGGGAAAAATGGGTAATTAGGGTTTGAGTTTAAGAGACCTTTGAATGAGGATTTGAGGGATCATTTGGACTCTGATTTCAGTGTTCTTGTAATGCATAGACCCGTGAGAGTATGAGGTTTCTGAAAATATAAATTTCGCCCCATTCCGAGATGTAGGCTCGAGGGGCATTTTGGTCATTTTACATAATTTCGCGTATTAGCTTAGACTTTAATTGTAGAATCAGTTACATGAAGTGTTATTTACATAATGCAATTGAATTGAATAGATTTGGGCCAATTGGAGTCGAGTACTCGTGGCAAAGACGTGGTGTCGGGTTGATTTTGAGCTGGTTCAAGGTAAGTGACTTGTCTAACCTTGTGTGGTGGACTTCCCCTTAAGATGTGATATATTTGATAATTAAAATGCCTTGTACATGCGGTGACGAGTGCGTACTTGAGTTAATTGTTGAAAATCCGGTTTTACTTTAAGTATTTCAATTGAGTTCCTTTTTCCTGTTTTATTCTACCTGCGAATTTAGCCTGTTGTAGTTTAGAAAAGCATGTTTAGTTGACTTAATTGCCTATTTGCTTAAACTGATTTAGTTGCATTATGTGAAGCATGTTAGGCTAGAATTAACTATTTACTTGGTACAGAATTAGCATTTAACTGAGTATTCTTATGTTGTTTATGTGTGTTTTTAATTTGGGACTACGGGACGACATCCCGGGAGATCCCCTGTACGTATTTAGGATACTAAGAGATCCTCAGGATACCGAGAGATCCCTAGCATATATTGAGGATACCAAGAGATCATCGGGATACAAAGAGATACCTAGCATATATTGAGGATACCGAGAGATCCCTAGCATGTATTGATGGTACTAAGAGATCCTCGGGATACTGAGAGATCCCCGGTTACTTCCTTGTGGTTTGCCTTCATCTCTGTTTCCGTTATTGTACTCTTATTATCCTGTGTAGATTCTTGCTATTGATTCTCAATTGTACTGCTTATCTTATCCTGTCATCTTTATATTTATTTAATCTCAGTAGGGTCCTGACCTTCCTCGTCACTTACCAACCAATGTTAGGCTTGACACTTACTGAGTACCGCTGTGGTGTACTCGTGCCCCTTCTGCGCATATTTTTCATGTGCAGATTCAGGTACCACTACTCAGGCCTACTATCCTTGAGCGAGGCGACTGCTTAAAGACTTCGAGGTACATTTTCCGCGTCCGCAGATCGAGAAGTCCCTTTCTATTCATGGTTTTAGTATTTAGCCCTTTTGTACTTCTGTTCTTATTAGACAAAATTACGGAGTTATAGCTATGTAGTATTTCTTTCTCTTAGCTTGTGATTCGTGGGTTTTCGGGTCTTGGATTTAGATATTAGTTTTGAGATCAATATAAATATGGTGTATGTCGAGCGGCACATTTAACACTGTTATTGCCTTATTTCTGTTTTTAAATTATTTTACTTCCGCAAGTTTTGGTTATCTTCCGCAAGTTTAGGCTTACCTAGTCGTAGAGACTAGGTGCCGTAACGATAGTTCACGGAGGGCGAACCGGGGTCGTGACAGTAGGTTTCCTTTCCTGTTTATATTACTTGCACTTTAAGCCTGTTATTAGTTTAGGAAAACATGTCTAAGTGATTTAATTGCTTTATTTGCTCAAACTATTTTACCTGAATTCTGTGCAGCATGCTAGACTAGAATTACCTATTTGCCTTAATATGAAACTGACATTTACTGAATATATTTCCATATTGCTCCTGTGTATTTACATTTGGGACTATGGATGTGGGATTCCGGTAGATCCCCCTTGCCTGTTTATTTGGGACTACGGATGTGGGATTCCGGTAGATCCCCCTTGTCTGTTTATTTAGGACTACGAATGTGGGATTCCGGTAGATTTCCCAATACTGGGTATTTATATTTGGGAACTACGGAACGGGATTCCCGTAGATCCCTGGCACTTTATGAGTTGGACTATGGGACGACACCCAGGAGATCCACTGGACATTTACATTTGGGGGCTATAGGACGGTATCCTGGTAGATCCCCGGTTGCTCTCTCTATGTTAAGCTGTGTTCCCTCAGTGATTATTTTGCCTCTGTTCTAGTTGTTGTTGCTCTTTCTATTCTATGTTATTTCTTACTGTCGCACTTAATTATATTGTCTTGTTCTGCACTGTTATACTTTGTATTTTATTTAACCTCAGTAGGGCCCTGACCTTCCTCGTCACTACCCGACCGAGGTTAGGCCTGGCAATTACTGAGTACCGCTATGGTGTACTCATACCCTTTCTGTGCATGTTTTTCATGTGCAGATCCAGGTACTTTCACTCAGTCTTATTATCCTTGAGGCGAGGTGCTTCTGCAGAGACTTCGAGGTATATCTGTCGCGTTCGCAGACCGAGGAGTCCTTTTTTCTATCTTCCTGTAATAGTATAGCCCTTCAATACTTCCCTTTTGTTAGACATTTCTAGAGTTAGAGCTTATTATGTATTTCTTAGCTTGTGATTCATGGGTTTACAGGTCATGGAGATATGTATTAGTTTCTGAGAGTTAAATATTGTGTATACCGAATGACATTTTTAAACACTGTCTTATTACTCTAATTCTATTTTAAATTATTTTACTTCTGCAAATTAGGCTTATCTAGTCGTAGGGACTAGGTGCCGTCACGATGGTTTACGGAGGGCGAACCGGGGTCGTGACACCGCTCTATGCCCTTTTAAGAAGGCAGATTGTTCTGGACTATTATTTTATTTATAAAAGGTTTAATACGATAAACAATTATTTTAGTGATTATTTTGTTGATAATATTGCACAGCCCTATTGGGCGATATTGGGTGATCATTGAAGGGTTTTTGACCTTAGGGATTAGGCATAAATAAGTAGTATTAATTTGAGCTGGTATTTGGCAACAGGTAAAAACCTCATTATAAAAAGAGATTACTGAGTGTCCAATTTGTGGCTAATATGTTTGATAGAAAAATGGGTGTAATCCATCAGGCCTTGGTTCTTTAAGGAGTTGGAACGAACTTATAACATGATGTATTTACTGAGTGGTTAATGGGCATGCCAAAATTGTATGATCGATGGCAGTGAGAGTATGAAAGTTATTTATAGGCTGATTAATAGAGGAATTAGTGTGGGTAGTGGTGAATAAGGAGTCATAATAATTAATTATTAAAGAATTGACTAGCGGTTGTTCCATAATCCAGTTACTTCCTAGATCCTTAAGAGCTATAATCCTATTTTTCCTCCTCCGTTGGAGTGTTGTTAGGTGAAATAATTTAGTAGTTACATCCCCTTATTGAAGCCAATTGATTCTGGATTTTAATCGCCAAAAATTCTCTTCCAGCCTAAGTAGCTCATTGAATTCATCTATTAGATCTTTTTCTAATATTTGTAGGAAATGGCTAGTGGGGTAATTCGGTGATGATTGAAGACCATTGAGTCTAGCCAATATATATTTTTTTATTTTTTAAAAATGTTTCCAAAAGTGGTTTGATTCCGATTTTTGACATCTTTAGTAAAATCGTCAATTGCTGTTAGTAAATATTTATTAGGAGTCTAGTTGTTGGTAATGAGAGCAGGAAAGGATGGGTGGGAGAACCAAATTATTTCAAATCGAAATATTTTTTACGAGGGAATTTGTGTATTAATTGAATGAGTATTGGACAGTGGTCCGAATGAGTTCGTGGAAGGTGTTGTACATTGTCTTCAGGAAATAGATTTAGCCAACCATAATTACAAACAAATCTTTCTAAGTGTTCCAAAATTCTATTAGCAATGCATCTTTTGTTGGTCCAGGTATATCGACTCCCCCTAAAACCTAAATCTAATAAATTGCAATAGTCTAGACATTGGATAAAATGGTCACATCTTGAATTATTGATAGGATTACCTCCGTATTTTTCATTTGCACGTGTTATTTCATTAAAATCGCCCCCGATTAACCAAGGCATATAAATATTATCATGCATTGTCATTAATTGATCCCATAAGGAATAACGTGCATGCAAGTCATTTTTAGCATAAATAGCCAAAATTAACCAAGTATTAGGGTTAGGAGGTACCTGGACAATTGAGTGTATGGCTTCTGAAGTAATATGTATATGGTCAAGATTAATAATTTCCTCATGCCATAGCAATGCAATACCACCTGAGTGTCTTTGTGCTGGTGCTTCTGCCATGCTTGTTAACCCAAGTTCCTCTTTCAAATGAGCGTGATTTTGTATATGAGTTTCTAGTAATGCCACTAATGCAGGTTGGTGGTAGTTAAATAATGAACGAAAATTTCTCTTGAAGTCTTATGACTGAGCTCCTCGACAATTCCATATTATAAATTGCATTTGATTACTATGGGAGGGGGGGAGTGAGGGTGGTGGAGTCTGTGTTGTCTCCACTTGGGGCACTGTTGTTCCCAGTAGTGAGCGGATCAAAACAAGCCCGTACTTACCTACCTCTGGGTTGTTTGTTGGTCGAAGATTTAGTGAGCAGCTTTGAAGTTCCTGTGGGAACATGATTGTGAACAGCTAATTTTTGACCATGTTTGAATTTATTCACACTTTTTTCACTCACTTCCCACTTCCCCCACTTTATCCACTCACTACCCACTTTCTCCATTCACTACTCACTTCCCCCACTTTACCCACTTTCTCCACTTATGTTCCCCACTCTCCCCACTTTCCCCACTCATGTTCCCCACTCTCCCCAAAATATTTCCTCCCACTCAGCACTACTTCCTCACATCAACTACTACAACACGCACACATTTTTGTATATATTTGATCTGGGAACAGAAAGAAGAGGGGGGAGCACAACATTACAAAGAGAAAAGAAAAAACGCAGCTGCTTGGAAAAGAGAAAAGCGCAGCAGCTGCCCATCTTCTTCCTAAAAAATAACCTCAAAACAACTTCATCTTCTCCATTCAATAACCATGAAAACCAGCTGAAACTTCAGCCATTAAAACACCCCAAGATCAGTTCCCTAAAGCTTCCCAAATCATCCCTCCAAACAGCCCAGCAAACATGACAAAATCAAGCTAAAAATGTCATGAAATAGCAGCTAAAACTGCTGCCAGCTCTAGCTTAAAAAAACCCCCAGCCTCTCTTGCCCATAAAATCAGTCAAAAAAAGCCTAAAAAGGCCACCAAACACCACTATAAATCAGCCACAAAATTGCTCAAAAATGTACCCCAAAACATCCTCGCCTCCAACCTAGTTCCACAATTGTTTCAAATACTAACTATCAGCTAGAACGTCCATCCAAAACCAGCTTTTTCAACCCTTAAACCCAGCCAAAAATCATCAAAAACCCAACTTAGAAATACCTCAAAATAGTCCCGTTTCACAAAAGGAAATAGCAACTTCAAAAGTAAAGATCGAAGGCACCGTTCACAAGTTTGGTCGTGGTCCAAATTTTTGCCAAAGTTTCGTCGCCAACTTCTCGATCTTTATTCAATTTTTCAGCTGCCTTGTCAAAGATTTTTCTTGGAGAGTTTTATTAAATACAGAAGGTCCATCCCTTTTCTCTTTACAAAGTCACTTATGCATTTTGAAATGAATTTTCTGATTAGTTCTTATTTGATGTGCTTCATTTATTGGTTGTATTTGTATGCTTTGAGATCAGTTACATCGCTTCTATTTGATGTGGGTTTATCATTCCACTATTATCATGAATTTGGAAGAATTGTCTAATGCTAAAATATGGGTCATATGAATTTCTATATGATTAAGTAGCCTTAGGCTTTAATAATTGAAATGTGAAATTGGGCTGTTGGTTTAGGAATAAGAAAAAACAACGTCATCAGTTGGTTCCAAATTTAAAAGGTTTAGTTCTTTCATATATATATAGTTTTAGTGGCCTTTAGTATAATTTTGACAACGCCCAAAATAATGAAGTAACAAGCTGGCCTATTTCTCTTTAATAAGTATGTCTCCATAAAATGATCCAAATACGTTAGAGAGTTTTATGCGCGCATTTAATTTACCATTGTGATTATGTATACGTTCGCGTAACATAATTGCCAATTTAACTCTAAAAAAGACTCGAGGGATGTGTGCGCGCAACTTCAATTAAACTTCCTTAATAAATCAACAAAAGCGTTATTAATCGTGGACACGTTCGCGTGACATGATTTTGACACGCCAAAAGAAAAGAGTATACGTACGCGTAACTCAATTCTTTAATTACGAATAATTCAAGTATTTAAAAGTGGTAAAAAGATAATTGCACATAGGTCTTAAGAATGAGTAGTTAAACAACTAAGCCAAATATAAATTGCTAAGCGACCGTGCTAGAACCATGGAACCCGGGAATGCCTAACACCTTCTCCCGGGTTAATAGAATTCCTTACTTAGAATTTTTGGTTCGCAGACTTCAAAAGGAAAGTCGAATTTCCTCGATTTGGGATTTAAAAATAAAACCGGCGACTTTTGGGTTTTAAAAATAAAACCGGTGACTTGGGACACCAGTTAAAATATTCCAAGTGGCGACACTGAATTAAACAAATAATCCCATTTCGAGTAATGTCACTTTAATTGGAAAAATTTCCTTATACCCCCTCGGGGTATAAAAAGGAGGTGTGGCAGCTCTGGCGACTCTGCTGGGGAATAGAACCCAGAACTTCCGGTTCAGGGTTCAAGAATTCGAGCTTGTTAACGCGATATTTATTTTGCTTTATTGTTGATATTACTGTACTTTGTGGACTTAATGTGCTAATTGTCATTTACCGCTTTGATATTACTTGAACTGTATTTTAAATGTCTTCTTATGCCACCCCTCTGAGTCTTCTAAAAATGTTGCACACGTTCGCGTGGCCCGCTTTTTCTGTAGAATTTATACCAAATAAATCGAGGATGGGCCAGCAACAAGTCCGGGTAGACTTTAGTTCTCCCGGTATGTTGCCCCCTTCTCGGCCCCAGTTGTCCGCTCGGGTAACCCAGGTCTAGACCACAAACCCCAGGTTTTAAACCTAGAATAACGCAACCTCATGCCGGATCCCTAGTAGGAACGATTATTTGCATCACATGCATTTGACCTTGGGGACTCAACACAGGGGTTGGGTCCGTCTAGGACAGGTGTACCCAAAATAAAGACCATATTGATGCATCCTACGTGCTATGTGAATATTTATTTGTTTGGGCTTGCATGTTGACCGGCTAGGAAAAGGAAACAAAGAGAAAAACCAAGAGTGAGGTAGAAGAGAAAATTTACCCGATTTCTAAAAATCCCGATATTTTAAAATATCCCGAAACTCTGCCGAATTTTTGAAAACAAAAGAGAAAAAAAGGAAAATGTAAATGTCAAAACTGACCAAACTACACGGGTCTAATTCTCACCGGATGTAAGATACGTAGCCAAACCTCATCGGTTCCGGCCCCAATTTTCAAAAAAATCCAAAAAAATATATTTTCTTTTAGTTCCTTCTTTAGAAATCTTTCCTTAGAAAATTCAAAAAAATAAAAAAAAAAGTTTTTAAACTCAAAAATAGTTTTCTTCTCTCTGAAGTCTTTCATATGGAAAAAGAAATTAAAAAAACTCAAATGGAATAAAAATCTGAAATACGGATTTCCTTTATTTTGAAGTGTTTTTCCATAAATTAAAAATAACCAAAAAAAAGAAGAATCCAAAAAAAGGGAAATATTTTTTATTTTTTTTCCTTCCTTCTTTAAAAGTATTTCTTTTGTAAGTGTCAGCAATAAAAAAATTAAAAAATTGAAGTCCAAAAATATTTTTGCTTTTCATTATAAGTACTTTTGTAAATAAAAATCTCAGAAATTTCAAATATTTTCTTAAAAAAGTCCCTCTTTCGAAAATTAAGAGGCAACATCCAAAATCCAAAAATACTTTCTTTCTTCCTTTGAAAAAGATAAAACAAATGAAAATTCAAACAAAAATATTTTCTTTTTACTGTTAAAATTCCCAAAGTTCAAATCAAAAGCAAATCATTTTTTAGAAGTCTTTCTCTCAAAATAAAAAAAAAATCAAAATCAAAAATCCAAAAAAAATAATATTTCCTTTCTTCTTTTAAAGCATTTCTTTCGAAAAATAAAAAAAAAGAAAAAAAATATGTTTTTCTTTTTCTTAAAGCTTTCATGGTTTGAGTTTTTAAAAGTATCCAAAAAGAAGAGTTAGCTTATTTACACAATTCTTAATCTTACCGAACTACGCAGGTCTGATTCTCACCGGATGTAGGATATGTAGGCAACCCAAAAGGGTCTTTGTCCGTTGATTTTCTTCAGAAAACTTGTTTTGCAAAAGAGTCCACAAGAGTCAATCTTACCTTAACCCTCCGCAGGTATAAATGAATACTGTCCAGGACTCATCGCAATCTGTCATAGAACGGACTGGGTTGCAGCTACGTAGGTGGTGGGATGATTTAAAAGAAGATGGCCGAGATTGGGTGAAAGAAAACTTGGGTTCCCTGATAGACATCATGCACATCAAACCCCGGGAGTATTTAATTAAAGCCTTGGTAATCTTTTGGGATCCCGTCCATAATGTGTTCCGTTTCTCAAATTTTGAGCTCATCCCCACTCTGGAAGAAATGGACGGGTATATTGATTTTGGCCAAGAGATAAGAAAGCAACAACTCATATTCCCAAGGGCTCCTTATGTGCACAGGTTCTTCGATCTTCTGAATATTAGCAAACAAATGAATAAGGCCCACATGAGCAAAGGGTGTGGTTCTTTCTATTTCTTGTATTTCAGGTTCGGGCACTCAGCCGGGTTTGAAACACATGAAAAGAGATTGAATAACAAACAAGACAAGAGCATATGGCAAATTCATCGTCAGTTTGCCTTCATCGCGGTATTTCTAGGGGTCATGGTCTTTCTGAATGCGGAAGACACAGTAGACACTCGTATGGCCAGAATAACACAGATCATCGTCACCAAAAAAGATCACACACTTGTCCCATTGGTGTTGGCGGACATTTACCGGGCATTAACCTTGTGCAAATCTGGGGATCCATTATTCGAGGGTTCCAATGTTCTTCTTCAAATGTGGATAATCGAACACCTTCGCCGTCATCCTAAGTTCATGAGCTATGCTTCGGATGGGAACAATTTCATCAAAAAATATGAGGAAAGGGTGGAAGACTACAAACCACCAGAAGGGGTTGAAGTTTGGGTTTCCTATTTAAGAAAACTGGGAGAGAATCAAATTGAATGGACCATAGGATGGCTCCCGGTAACATAAGTCATATACATGACCACTTCAAAGGACTACTTGATGATGATGGGAGTGAGAAGTATACAACTATATGCACCACAAAGAGTTTTGAGACAACTGGGAAGATATCAGGTGATACCCGAAGATGCAGATCTAAGCACCCAAGTCATTGAATTAAACCCAGAAGCAACGCTACCTGAGGTTTTAGTTCAAAGGGACTGGAATGACTATCGGTATCTAAAAAGTGACACCCAGGTACCAGACCCGGCTAGGGGCGAAGTTGATCCCAATTATGCTACTTAGTTTGAAAGAAGTTTTTATGTGAACAATGAGCCAGAGTCCGAGCCCGAACCCGAGAGGCCTGCCAAAAGGCCCCATGTTCAAGATTTTGTTGACAAAATTCAGGAAAGGTTAGCCTAGGGGAAAAGGAAAAGAAATATCAAGCCAGCATTCACGCTTTGCGAGAAGAGTTGAGAAATGTCACCTTCAACAATGATCTACAGGCACGAGAGGCTGAGGGTGAGAGGAAAAGGCTAGTTCAAGAAAATGAAGCTTTCAGAGCCCAGGTTCGACAGCTGAGAATAGCAGCCAAGAATCCGAGCGAAAGCTGGAAAGATGGGCGTTTGTTGCAATAAAAAGGCATCATAAGGGAAAGGGTCAGAAGGATTGCCGACTACATCACGATGAAATGCAGTGAGTGTGAGGACATGACTAGATCCATGTTCTTCGCCACTGTGATGATCTTTGTCCGCCAGATAATGGAGGATCTCTATCGGCTCTAAAATGACCTGGCGCATAGGCCCGCTGCAAGACCAGTTGGTGTCCCTAGGACAGGGTTGGAGGCACTGATGTACTCTTGATTGTATTTTCTTTTTCGAGTCTGTACTTTTATTTTTTTTAAAAAGTATGTTTTGAGTCTATCTGAAATTTTAGATTCCTAGAAAAAGTTTGGCTTGAGTCTGTTTGAAGTTTTAAAGTCCTAGAAGAAGTATGTTTGGAGTCTTTTGTAATTCAGTGAAGTAGAGGCTTTATTAATGAAAATTGGAAATTCCCAAAAAAAAAATTATTTCTTTATTTTTTGCATTTATCTTCTTGAACTACGTAATGATTTGATTCTTGCGACGTCGTAATACGTAGGCAATCCTCATCGGATCCGGTCATGATTTGTAAATAACTCAAATAAAAGAGGGATGTGAAAAGAAAGAACCGAAAGAAAAACCAAAAAGAAAGAAATAGAGAGCCAAAGAAAAAAAAAACGAAAAAAGGAGAGCAAGAAAAAAAGAGGAGAGGAAACTAGGAATAAGAGGAGAAACATCAAAGAGCCAAAATGGAAAGAAAAGAAAATTAGGGAAAAGAAAAGCCGGGATGAAACATACGACCGTTGCAAAACATGTAGAAACACATTCAACTGTACAGGTGCATCACACCTCCAACGTGTGATTACCTATGTGTTAATTTCTTCAAACTGACCAGTTTGTTGTCTACTGCATTAAAGTGCATGTTCTATATTAAGGTGGCTGGTTTTGTGATAGTCTGGCTTCACATCCGTACTTCACGAGGTCAAAAAGAAGTGTTGAAATGTCTTCGGAAAGTCATCTGCCAACAGTTCCTATTCCGGAGGATAGTCCGATCTCGGCCATCCCAATTTCAGAGTCAACAACTGCTGAGGAAAATAGAATTCTGCATCTCGACATGATGGAAATGTGGGACGCCTGGGCCAACGGAAGAGAACCACCAATTGCGATCCTTGGATTCCCTGAGCTTTTTCCGAGGGCAAGTGGGACCTCCAACATCCCCATAAGTTATCCAAATACCCCACTGGGATATCCTACCATTTTAGGACACTTTGCTAGAACACCTTCTGAGGCTCGCCCCCAAGTGTTAACTTCAAGTTCTGCTTCAAACATATTCACTGCGCCACCTTGTTCAGCTGCTACACAACCTACTCTACACAGGCCTAGCTTTGATCCATCTTTCTTCACATTTCAAGCACCATCTTTCCCACTGGAACCTACCTAGTTTACTACCAATGCTTGCCCTCAGTCGCCTCGATACGAGTTGACTGCAGGGCAGGAGAAAACCACAAAAACCCCTAAACAAGAGGAGATTACCAGAAAGATGAGAAGCATGGAGCAAAGTCTAAAAAATATACAGGGTCTGAGTGGGAAAAAGAGCGTATCCTACGCTGACTTGTGCATGTTCCCGCATGTACATTTACCCTTGGGTTGAAAACCCCGAAGTTTGAAAAATATGATGGGAATGGGGATCCCATAGCCCACCTCAAAAGGTACTACAACCAATTGCGGGGAGCGGGGAGAAAATAGGAGATTCTCATGGCTTACTTTGGAGAGAGTTTGGTCGGCATTGCTTCTGAATGGTATATGGATCAGGATATATCTCATTGGCATATCTGGGATGACCTGGCTCGGGACTTTGTCAGGCAGTTTCAATATAACATCGACATTGTCCCTGACAGGAATTTATTGTCAAATCTATAGAAGAAGTCCTCGGAATGCTTCCAAGAGTATGCTGTCAAATGGCGCGAACAAGCGGCCAGAGTCAAGCCTCTAATGGACGAAACAGAGATGGTTAGTGTCTTTCTTCAAGCCCAAGAGGCTTATTATTATCAGAACATGATGTCTGCGATGGGGAAGCCATTTGCCGAAGCCATAAAAATCGGTGAAATGGTTGAGAATAGGTTAAAGACAGGGCAAATCTTGAGTCAGTCTGCTATAAGGGCTACCTCCCAAGAAATTCAAGGCGGGTGTGGAGGTGTAGCAAACCGAAAGAAGAAAGAAGAAGCGACAATGGCAACTTCAAGTGTAAGAAAACCACCCAGACCTTATTTCTCTGAAAGAACCCCATAACATTACTACCCCCACCAGGATGTGGCTTATGCTATGGTTCCTCAGCCATACGCGGTGATGAATGCCCAATCATACGCTAGGCCACAACAACAATTTAATCAAAACCGAGCTCCATTTCACATAAATGTACCTTTTCACCAAGCCCAGTATAATCCCCGACATCCACAGAACAACTTCCGTGCCCGGGAACCACCCAAGATGGCAAACTTCACACCTATTGGGGAGTCATATTCCAGCCTTTTTCCCAAACTTCTCCAGATGGGTTTGTTGCAGCCTGTACTCCAAATCAGACAGAACCCAGCGTAACCCGATTACAGAGCCTGTACTCAATGTGCTTACCACTCAGGGGCAGAAGGGCATGATACAGATGACTATTGGACATTGAAGAGGGCGGTGGAAAATCTAACAGAACAAAAGAGAATAGTACTAAAGGACGAAAACGTTCATAATGTAACCAATAATCCATTACCGGCTCACAACAACAGGCTGATTATTGGAATGATTTGTGAAGATAGAGAGTTTGACCCAGCTCTAAAAGCCATCATTGCCAAAGCCGATGTGGAAAGGAAACCAAAAGCTATCGCGAAACGAGACAAAGGTGAGAAGAAGAGCAACCCTACCCCTCAGAATACAGAAAAGAAAGTGGGAACTGAAACTGGGGTAGCGCCCTTAAAAGATGCCATTCTCTATGTTCCCCGAGGCCACAAGAAAGAACAGATGTCATTGAGCCCTCCTAGAAGGTTTGAGTTAAACAAGGGAGCTAAAATGTATGTGCCCGAAGGGACCTACGTGGTGCGGGGGCCAGTAATTTCACCAAGGCTGAATGAGACCGTGGTTATTGGCCGTGCACCGCAAAGGCCCATGACAGATCCCACTGCCATTCCATGGAACTACAACAATGCGGTAGTAACTTACAGAGGTAAAGAGATCTCGGGAGAAGTTCAGGAAAATAACCCGGCTGAGAAATACCTCAATCTGGAGGAAGTGAATAATGCCATAAAGAAGAATTTCCCACCCAAGAAGCCAGTAAGTGTTGAAGAAGCAGAAGAGTTGTTCCAGAAAATGAAAATGGCGGACTATGAGATAGTTTACCAACTCCGAAAATCTCCTGCTCAAGTCTCTTTGTTGTCTTTGCTAATAAATTCAACTAAACATCAAAAAGTGTTGATCAAAACTCTCAATGAAGCATACATACCCATTGAAACCATTGTGGAACAGTAGAGAGGATGGCGGAAAAGTTTTTTGCAGTTAATCATATCTCTTTCAGCAAGAATGATTTGCCCCCGGAAGGGCCCGCCCACAACAAAGCCCTTCATCTGACAGTTAAATGCGAGGGGTATTATGTGAAAAGGGTCATGCTAGATGGTGGTTCTGGGGTAGATATTTGCCCTCTCTCAACCCTGCAAAGAATGGAGATCGGTACCGAGAGAATCAGGCCCAACAACTTCTATGCGCGTGCCTTCGATGGCATTAAGAGAGATACCATTTGTGAGATTGATTTAATTTTGACTCTTGATCCAGTGGACTTCGAAGTGACCTTTTAGGTCTTGGACATGGATACTTCCTATAATTTTCTCTTGGGAAGACCTTGGATTCACGCAATAGGGGTTGTACCTTCTACTCTCTACCAGATGGTGAAATTTTAACATGAAGATCAGGAGATTGTAGTTGGCGGAGAAGATGAGCAATCGATTTGCCGGGACCCATCAGTCCCATGTCTTGAGGCTAGGGAAGGAAGTGAACACATAGTCTATCAAGCGTTTGAGGTTGTGGTCGCAGACCAATGTGAAAAAGGGAATCCTTGTCCTCAACCCTTTCTCTCAAATGCATCAATTATGGTTGCCAAAGAAATGATCAGGCATGGGTACAAACCCGGGAAGGGGCTCGAGATGTCATTGCAAGGAATCGCCGAACCTATCACTCTGGCTGCTAGTGATAAGTTCTTTGGGGTAGGTTTCCAACCCACGCCAGCTGATGGAAAATGGGCAGATGAACGAAAGAACAATGGTTGGGTCTTGCCTCAGCCGATTCTGCATCTTTATATAACATTTGTCAGGCATAAATACAATGAGGAAAAGGAAGATGAGGCCTTCACGGCTGAGGAAATTAAAGAAATCTGTGGGGCTATGAGGCAGATGCTGTATGAAACCCACATGGTCCATCTAGGGGAAGGCTCAGGCATCGCTGAGATGCTATTCATGGGACCTAGTGTCAAGCTACAAAATTGGAAGGTTACTCTATTCCCAATCAAGCGGGAATCCCGATAGTGTAGTCCTACCACTTTTTATGCATCACGAGTTATTTCAGGGTGTAACTCGGATGTTTTCTTTAGTTTCCTGTCTTTAATTTCCAATGTAAACCGTGTTATCTTCTAATTCAATGAAATGATATTAATATTTCATCGTTCATCTCTCTACTCTTTCTGATTTTTGTTATTTTTCTCTTATTTCAGTTCTAATAATACGACTTTAAATAACATGACATGCTTGGGGACTTCATGCCCAGATCCTAACACGCTGTCTAATTGTGAAATAATGAACCAAGAACCGGAATATGATGAAGAAGAGGCTTTTAGGAAAATAAATCGAGAATTGGAATAATTTGAGAATAAACCTAAGCTGAACTTAAATGATACCGAGCCAGTTAATTTGGGTAGTTCTAAAGAACTCAAAGAAACCAAGATAAGCATTCACACAGATGAAAAACCCGGGACGCATTGATCCAACTTTTGTTTGAATTCAAAGATGTGTTTGCTTGGTCATACGATGACATGCCATGACTAAGTGTTGATTTGATAGTTCACAAGTTGCCAACCTACCCCGATTATCCTCATGTCCAGCAAAAGCAAAGAAAGTTCAAAACTAATATCAGTGACAAGATTAAAGAAGAGGTCACAAAATAGTTGATGGCGGGGGTGATCCGAGTGGTTTGATACACCACATGGTTAGCCAATGTAGTTCCAGTAACAAAGAAAAATGGAAAAACTCGAGTGTGTGTGGACTACAGAGATTTGAACAAAGCAAGTCCCAAGGATAATTTCCCTTTGCCGAACATCCACATCCTTGTTGATAACTGCGCCAAACATGAAATACAGTCCTTCGTGGATTGTTATGCAGGATATCACCAGGTGTTGATGGATGAAGAGGATGCGGAAAAGACAGTTTTCACCACACCCTGGGGCACCTACTATTACAGAGTCATGA